CCCCAAAACCCCAAAACCCCAAAACCCCCAAAACCCCAAAACCCCAAAACCCCAAAACCCCAATCCAGGCGATCCAAAATGAAATATTTTTAAATAATTTAAAACAAATGGACCTAAGAGTGGGTGGCAAGTATAAGCTCAAGAAGAAGCTTGGCAGTGGTGCATTCGGAGACATCTACCTTGCAGAAGATGTGAAGAAGTCGATATAGAAGTCGCAGTCAAGCTTGAGCCTGTGAAAACTAAGTTTCCTCAACTTCTGTATGAGACCAAGTTATATAAATTATTTGCAGGTGGAAATGGAATCCCAAAAATCTACTGGGCAGGCACAGAAGGCGATTATAACGTAATGGTTATGGAACTTCTTGGGCCTAGTCTTGAAGATCTTGTTAAGCATTGTGAAAATAGGTTTTCAGTTAAAACTGTCTGAATGATCGCTGATCAATTATTCCAAAGAATCGAATTCGTCCATGCTAAGAACTTCTTACATCGAGATATTAAGCCAGATAATTTCTTAATAGGGCTTAATAAGAAAGCACATATGATATATATGATCGATTTTGGGTTAGCCAAGAGATTTAGAAATTCAAAAACAGGGGATCATATTCCATACAGAGATGGAAAAAGTCTAACTGGAACTGCTAGGTATGCCTCTGTCAACACACATCTCGGAGTAGAGCAATCAAGAAGAGACGACATTGAAGGTATTGGTTTCGTCTTAATGTACTTCCTGAAGGGTAAATTACCTTGGATGGGGATTCAAGCTAAAACCAAGGATGAAAAATATGAAAAAATAAAAGATAAGAAAATATCAGTTACAATAGAACAACTTTGCAAAGGATTCCCAAAAGAATTTGCAAAGTTTTTTGAAAGCTGAAGAAATCTTGGCTTCGAAGATAAACCTGATTATTCAGGTTACAGAAGGATGTTTTCTGATCTCATGACTCAAGAAGGTTACTCTTATGATTTCACCTATGATTGGCTATTGAAAAAGAGTGAAAGAGAGACTCTAAGAGGTATTGTTGCTGTTGAAGATGAAGAAGAGAAGAAAGAACCTAAAATGACCAAAGCAGAAAAATTCAGACTAACTCAAGAAGACTATAAAAAGAAGGAGCCTGAAGATAAATTAGAGGAAAAGAAGATTTCTAAAGATCCCTCAGCCCTCAAACCAGTTTCTAAAAAGCCTAAGGAGGATAAGAAGACTAGTAAGAGAAGAAAGACTTATAATATGAAAGAAACTAAAAAAGAGGAACAGAAAAAGCCGGATATATACTCTGCAATGAAGGATGCTGGGTTTGGCTCTGCCAAACCCAAGATCGTTACTAGCAAAGTACGCAATTATCGGTATTAGTCTGTAATAATTTTTGGTTCAATTATTATCAAAAGAATCGGGGTTTTGGGGTTTTGGGGTTTTGGGGTTTTGGGG